AAAAAAGTCAAAAGAATTACACTGGATATAAGGAATGAACTCAAACGAAGAATTAATATTTTCAAAGGTTAGAAACGTCCATTGACCGTAGGAGTACGGAGTAGAATCAAATAAACCAGGGAGTATTTCATCATTGATAAAGAATATGAGCAGATAGTTTGTTAGAGTGATTCACAGCACCACGGTAGCCAATATCTAAACAAACAGCATCACGGTAGTACGTGTACTAGCTGTTTGACAATCAATGATGCATGGTGGGTTGAGAATCTAAACAATAAGGAAAGGGGCTAGGTGGAGACTGTTGAACGAAATCAGTTGTGTGTACAATTCTCTAATGCCAATTTGTGCGTACCATACCAAGATCACGAGGATTAAACAAAAATCCCGTGCTTGCCTCATCGTGCAACTAGTCATGAATATATTTGGATTAGGAGAAAAGCGCCAAGCTGGCAAGATAGGCAAACGAATATATGCTACCGGTGCCTGACTATTAATTCCATGCATGTATCCAGAGTTCCCGGCTGTGTGCACCGTGTACAATGTAATGGCTCTGTTCGTTTGTCTTATAATCCGTACTTTTCAGCTTGTTTTTTCAATCGGAACAGTATTTTTCTCTCACAACAAATCAGCCGGAATAATATTTCGGTTTGTTTTTTCAGCAAAGCGAACGGGACCAATATAAGCTAGTCTATACATATCTTGATTTGGTTGCTAAAAGATTTGGGTTTTGTATATTTTGACCTTTATTATTATGGCCCTGATCGCGTACTTTTTAGCGAACGAACAATGTTTTACTCTTATAATAAATCAGCATAAATCAAATTTCAGTGAAACGAATATGTTATTAAACGGGAAATACTACCTCCGCTCATAATTAGATGACATCAAATTTGACCTGTCGTTAGTTCTTTTGCTTTTCCGGCAAAAGTTACCCGGAGGCAGCACGCAAGGCTATCCAAGAGTAATAAAGGGCATTTACGGTTGTATCTTGTGTTCCTGTTGTTTGTCTTGTCATTTTATCGATCTAGACCTGGTTTAGTTGTCAGTCTAAAACTTTACACCTTGTCACATTAACTGTTTAACACATGTATGGAATATTAAATATAGACTAAAAAAATAACTAATTGCACAGATTACGACTAATTTACGAGACGAATCTTTTAAACCTAATTAGCCTATGATTTGACAATAAAGTGCTACAGTAACACAGCGCTAATGATAACTTGATTAGGCTTAATAAATTCGTCTCGTGATCTACTGACGGATTCTATAATTTATTTTTTTATTAATATCAAACACACGTACCACACCATATATAACACATAACATGACACGCCAAAACCGGAACTAAAACAAGCCCCAGTACCGTCGGTGATGAAGCCTGGCAGGACAGCAATTTGATGGAACTAGCATCGGTGATGATACTGCGGGATGCTGTCGCATCGAGTGGTTAACCTTACGTCCCATCGCCTTGGCATATGATTCATCACCTGAATAATGTTACGCTACATCGTCATAAAAGGTGGAGCTCCAGTGTCATCTGAAATCAAACCGTGAACATTAGAGCACGCGAACCATCGTTGTTGTCAGACTAAAAAGTGAACCGCACAGTCGAGTCGAACCGTCGACTATAAAATAATCAGTCGTGTAAGAGAGAGACAAAACGACGGACGCAGAATCTTCCGCGTGGCCGCGAGACGGATGGAGGAAGAATTTTTTTTAAGTAGCATATGGACCCCACAAACCGATGTTTGCACTAGAGCGATCGAACTCTGCCTTTATTTGGTTTCACGGTTCGCTCTAGCACTACAGTCATAATGTCCCGTTTGAGGGTGCATAACCGGGACCAATCGTTGCAAATGCGTTATCTCAAAAGTGTTAAAAGGTTGTGTTTGGTCGCATGACCGAAAATTAGTCCTGGATTTTGGGTACCAAACAGGAGACCTAATCATGGGCTAATAAGAACTAATCAGACTAACTGGTGCTTAGGGTCATTAGCTCTTATTAGCCCTGATTACCCCACGTTTAGTCTGTCATTATATGATGGATTAAACTTTAGTCCTGAGATCCAAACACCCTCAAAGGTACTTCCAATTGTTCATGTTATCGTTTTTATTTTAAAAAAAAAATCCTAGGTGAACTCTAAAGAAGTTTCAAAAGTGGGTCGGCTTGGATTGAGAGACACAGAGAGGCTATTCATGGAGGGAAGGAAAGGTGGCTTATCGACGCATGGACCCGAAAATGGGTAACATAGCAAGAAACCAAGTGGAGTGGCTCAAAACCAAGGTATATATATAGAGAGAGAGAGAGGGGGGGCATGGATTCTAACATGTGAGACATGCATGCCATATCAACAAAATCACCTTGGAAACCACTTAAAACTTTTGAGAAGGGTAATTTTCTCGGTTTTGAGAGATATAGGGTGTATGATGTCTAGTTCTTGCAAAACCACCTTTAAACCCAGTTTGAGCTGTCGCATGGTGGTTATTTGTCTATTTTTATAATTGGAGATGCATGATGTTTGATTTCGAGTCCAGGGTTCATACTCGTGACAAGTTTAGGTGTGCGAAAAAGACTCCACTCTGTTTTTGGATCTTTGGTTGGCAATAAACTAAGGGAGTGGCATCACCCAGTAGCTACAATGGCAAACATAAAACTAAAAATAAGTCGAGACACCCCTTATATGGGCCTTGCATCAAAATGGTCCATCCAATGTGTAAGAAGCTCCTAAACACAATGACAGGGGAGTAAAGTGCACTGGTTGTCCTTGAACTTGTTCGACTATGTCATCCCAGTTCCTAAACTCACGAATCGACCATTCAAGTCCTCAAACTTGTTCATCTGTGTCATCACAGTCCCTAAACTCTCAAATCACTCGTTTAAGTCCTCAAACTTGTTCGGCCGTATCATCTAGGACCCTAAACTTGCAAATCACCCATGTAGGTCCTCAAACTTATTTAGTTGTGTCATCGTAGTCCCTAAATATTGTAAACTTGTAAATTCAATGTACATTTATAGAATTGCCCAAAAATGATAAATCTAATTTTGTTAGACTCCTGGTAACATGTACTTTAAATTAGAATAAAAGAAGTTGCCATGTATTTTCTATTTTAACTCTATAGTTCAATAACTAAATAGGCACATACATTTTTAGGATTTATAAAAATATATGTGACTATTTATTCATTTAACTACAGAGTTAGAAAAAGAAAGTACATGGTGATTTCTTTTATTCTAATTTAAAGTACAAGTTGCTAGAAGTCTAACAAAATTAGATTTATAATTTTTGGACAGTTCTATAAATATATATTGAATTTACAAATTTATAATCTTTACAACATCTAGGGATCCGGATGACTCAACTGAAAATGTTTGAGGACCTAAACGGGTGATTTGCATGTTTAGGGATTTAGATGACACAGCCAAACAAGTTTGAGGACCTAAATGAGCTATTTGCGAGTTTAGAGACCAGGATGACATAGATAAACAAGTTTGAAGACCTAAACGGTCGATTTGCGAGTTTAGAGACCGGGATGACACAACCGAACAAGTTCGAGGACCGCTAGTGGACTTTACTCATGATGGGGTAAGAAATATTAATTGAGCCATATCTCTATATAGGAATCCTGCATCCAAAAGATGGCCAGCGGATCAGGCATTCAGGCCACGTCGCCCATTAGCCTGTTAGTCGTCGGATTGGGCGAGAACACAAGTTGAACTGTTCGATCCGGGTCATTGTGGGTCGGTCACCCGTTAAGCTATGAACCCAATCGGTTGCAAAACGTCGCGAATGCACCCGCCCCTCATCTCGCCGTCGTTGCTCCTACCGCTGCGCTACCTTCCGACATCGCCTTTCTGCCACCCCATCCGCCGGGCGCTGGCTTGCTCACGCGCCGCCAACTCCTACCCCTCCGCGAGCAGTTACTCCCCTTTGGCGCCTCCTCAGCGGTGGCCCCACGCGGCGGCGCGGCACAATGGCGCCGGTAAAAGCGCTCCTCAAGATCAAAATCTTCGTATGTAAAATAAGGAAGCTGCTATCAAAATATAACTTAATATGAAGGTGGAATTGGAATGGAAACAATAAATGTTAATTTTGTAGTAACAACTATTCAACCTTTCTTTTTTCCAATCTGATTGAATTTGCTAGGTTCATTTGGGGTAGTGCACGATTCCATAATGTCTAGATCCACGTGAAAATAGATCATATGTTTAATACATGTTGCAATGCGATGCAAGTTTCTGCGCATTGTATGTGGAGATTTTGCAATAGGATATGTAATAATATCTCTCATCAAACTTTGGTGGGTGTTTTTTTTTTACCATTCATCATTTCTCATCAGGTTTGATGTCTTGAAAATCAGTCACATAATAGTTATTATAAGGTTAAATTGTTCGATGCTTTGAAAAATGCTAAGGCCATATTGGTTTTCCATTATTAAAAAGAATCAAGTGCAAACTAAAGTTCAGTAGAGCTACATTTTTTGTGAGAAATTGAGTCACGTATATATAGGGAATAATGATTTTGCATTGTTCACTAATTGTTTCTTATTCTTATCAATACTGATTACAAAGCTGAAAAATAACTAAATTTTATAATGAAAATTTTTATACACAAAAGTTATTTTTTCACTATTTTTTCTGAAGATTTGGGGACCTTATAGCAATGGTTTTTATTTATTTCCACGGTGCATTTTGTTAGCTTATTTCCACGGCGCATGCACTCACTTTTTGGACAGGATATCTCCGAGAGCCCAAACAAGGCCTGGGCCAACGTGCTCCCAGATTTCACTGCGTTGGTTGGCCAACATAATGGGCCTTGGGTTCAACAGCCCCATGAAGAAAATCGCAAGGCCACGACGGCCCAATATCACAGTGAAGAGCACAATTCCTTCCGGGATCCCAGAAGATACGGCCTTCCACGGGTAGCAGCCGTCACGCACCGGTGTCTGCGCCGCCGGCGGCAGGAACACACCTGATCTCGACGGCAGAGCGAGAGAGCGATGGCGCTGACCAACTTCATCGTTACGGTGGCCGTGGTCGGCGCGGGGGTGCTCCTCTTCACCACCGACATCCGCAGGTCTGGCGCCCTCTTCCGCCGCAACGTGCGCCAGCTCCGGCAGTGGCTCGAGGAGGACACGGCCTCCGCCGCGTCCAAGTAAGTTGCTTGTGGTGCCGTGCGCCGGCCCCATCCCTCCTTCTTGCTTGGCGCTGTTCTTACCGTGTTATTTAGATGGGATGAGAGGTTAACTTGCTCCGGATTCTATGAACGGTCGAGATATCTGTTTAGGTTTAGGGGTCGTTCCGGAATCGAGTTACTCAGATGGCAACAGTAGAGAAATAAAGAGCGATTTGAATTTATTCGTCCTATTGGACGGTCGAAAATTTCGAATGGATTATAGTGTGATTGTTTCTCATTCGCTAGGCAATTATGCGAAGGTTATTTAAGTGGTGGATCATTGGAGAATCTGTTTGGTCTATTGGAAGCATATCACATCTCACTGTTGGGTTTTAGATGTATAACAGCTTAGGCCTTGTTTGGATGTGCATGTATTCATCTTAATTCACATGTTATGAAGTGGATTGGAGTGGAATTGAACTAAATTCCATTCCATTCCACTCCAACACACGTGGATTGAGGTGGATACACATGTATCCAAACAAGGCCTTAGAATTCTGATCCGTGCGTTTTAGCAAACATTGCGCATCAGAAGATTTGATGTGGGCATTGCGCATCAGAAGATTTGATGTGGGGAGTCTTTTCGTAATCTGCAGAGTTTATTTGTTGTCCGATGCCAAAGATTTTCCCCTATCAAATTCATGGGATGATTTTTGCGATTTCATCATATTTGTGATTCTGCAGTATTCTAACAATACTAAGCTATTGGTCCTTCATTTGGTGAGACACGTTTTTGGCCACTTGCATCCAAATAGCGGTAGCCGTCCAGTTAAACAAGTAGCTCGAATTACACCACAGATATGATGGGTATTGGTTAGGTTTGGGCTTTGTTTGTCTCAATTCAGGATGGGCACAGCTTGGGCTGGCCAAGGCTTTGATCCACCGTTTGTTCCTGCCTTCCCGGACAAATCAACAAACGATATTATGTACATGTTGGCACTTACAGAAAAAAAATACTTACTCATATTACAATTTTCTGAGAATATATAATTATGTAGAAGCTTCTGATTTCTTTATTTCTATTTTGGGACATTTCCAATATGCATCTGGAATACGTACATAACATTGCACTGAAATCTGAATACACCAACATGAGTACACCACCCTCTGTCCCAAAATGTAGATCATTTTGGCTTTTCTAGGTACATAGCTTTTGCTATGCACCTAGATATACGCTATGTCTAGATATATATAATAAAAATTATGTATCTAGAAAACCAAAACGACCTATAAATTGGAACGGAGGGAGTATTAACTAGTGCCACTGCAAGTATATATTGAATTCCAGCAATCTGTTTAACTTATACCTAGAGTTGTTTGAAATGAACTGAATACCTAGAGTCGTTTGAATCAGTCCGGAAAAGAAAAGACCAGCTATGTTATACTGGTGAAGTTGTATCTGAGTGAGTCTTATCCTACTGTTGTGTAGTTGTTGTGTGAGGTAGCTTTTGCATCAGAAACAATTGATATCTTTTGCAGTAGCATGGAGCAAATCTTCCTTATGGTTTTTTCTTTTGACCTTAAACTGGTACTTCATGTTTTTCTGCTGCTACTGAGTAAAAGGATGATTTCCACACTTTATTTACTTCCTAAGTTATATCAAACAACATTGCAGGTCTGCAAAAGAAGCAGCTCCAACTCCAAAGAAATTTGACTCAACGGTCCCCAAGGAGAAGCCAAAGGAAGATAGTCACTGATTGGAGTTGTTTATATGAATGGTATAACCCCTATTTAAAGTCGTTCAAGTTTTGTTTTCTTTAATTACTGTGACTTGTAGCTCTTAAGTAGATGCACGGCAAAATTATGTTTTGGTTTGAACAGAAGTATACTTATGTTTTGCTTGTAAGGATCTAAAGCTCTTAGCTAATCTACACGTGTCCTGGTAGCTTTGATATTTGGATGACTTACCCAGTAAGACAGATATATGAAATGCTTCTATGAAGCATTTTTACGATCTTCCTTTTTACTTTCAGCAGCCATGTGGCTATTTGATTTATTTTATTCAATCATTGTTAAGTCCAGGTCCCGATATCACCCATGTTTTAAAGGCGGCTAGGCGTCCAGGCGAGTGCTTGGTACGCCTGGACGCCTACGCCTAGGCGACAAGGCGCCACTGTTTCCCAAGGCGAGCTGGGTACGCCTCCTTGAAAACATGGGATATCACTCGTTAGTTATCGGAGAAACAAATATTCACTGTCAGCAATGCTTCAAAAGGTTTCTGTGTGAGCAAACCATCGATGCTACTTTTCCTGTATGGCTGTATGCAAATATATATAATATATGTTGGATAGTTTAAACAGTATTTGGCCTTTTCCTATCAGAATATAGATGGATTAACTGAATAATTCTATTAAACACGGAACTCAAATTTTGTTGGTGTTACGGTGTGCCCACAAATTTTGCAACTATTGCGCTAACTACTGGTTTTTCTGCGCCCTGTTCGAACGGAAGCGTGATCAATTAAAACAGACCTTGAATGAAGGGAAGCAACCTGTTGTGAATTACTGCTACAACTCCATAGCGAAAGCTTGAAATTTGTTAGATCTGTACTGTTACACATTGCTGTTTACAGAAATATGATTGAGGGAAGTTACATGCCTATTTGTACATTTGGTGGTCAGCGTGTACGGGGCAGTACTACCCAAAGTGGTATAGGTCCTGTGTGACACTGCTTGCCTAACATCTGTCCGAGTGGTTATTCTGAACAGGAGAGGAAATCGTCGGCCTTCTGCTCTGGATCTGATAGAGGTGACGCAACCTGCGACAGTTGCCGGGTGGACCAGCTGGACGGTCCGTCGATTGGTGGAGAGGTGAGCAGCGACTGTACCCGAAGGCTTGGTTGGTGGTTGCAACTTGCGAGTCAGGAGGCAGTACACCATCCATCCATCCCGGTGGTGTTGATGGGTGCTCCTCCAATGCTGTGCGAGAGGGACATGGAATCACTTGAGGTTGCATTGGCAAGTTTCAACATGGCGATAGCGCGCCTGACAAGTTGGTTGTTGGTTCAGTTAGGTTTGCAATCATCGCGCGATTGCGGCCCTTGCAAACCATCACGCGTCCGCGTCCAGGGCGAGGCGAGGACGAGCGGCGGGTGTACGAACGACGACCAGACAGACCCCAGGCTAGCAGGAGTGTTTGTGTATGGTTAGCACAGCGAATCTGAGGAGATCATGCCTTGTCGATTCAAGAGCCGGGCAGCGCGGAAATGGAAAGCCAGAGCCTAACCCTGCTCTGCTCACCGTCAGAGAGAGAGAGAGAGATCGTATCGACGCACAACGTCAGCGTCATCGTACACGGTGCACAGACCACGTGTCGATTCGAAGGACCGAGGACAGGTTAATTAACGTACGTACGGTACGCTCCCTCCAAAACCCAGGTGTTTAGCGTGCGTGTTGAACCCCTTACCGACCCCTTAGGCCTCGTTCGTTTGCTCAGATCCAATCCTGGAGCTGATTTGTTCCACCCCAGGAATGAGTGGATTCCTGCCTGTAACCATTCCTGCCTGTAACCGTTCCCTGCCTGCTGTTCGGTTAGGCAGTGTCGTCGCTGACAGTCCAGAGAACATGACTGATCTCTCTAGGCCATGTTCGTTTGCTTGTGGTACTGAACAAGTGTTGGAGTACTACAAATACATCTCATGAAATACATTGCAGCAAAAACAGGCTCTCATACATTGCAGCAAAATAAAATAGATAAAATCTCCCATATTTTGGAGTTCTTTTATCTGCAAGTCTCTCATCATGCTCTCATACATGTAGAGACAATGGGCAGCAACAATAGCAGAGTATCACAGATAATGTGCAGCCACATATAAAGGACATGCTAGCTACTGCCAAAAGTGACAAAAAGATGCACCAAAAGGCTGCCATGATCCACTCATGGAATTACAACCTTCATAATTTAAACCAGTAGATAACTCATCTAAGCCTACTCAAGTGTTCAGGCACTTTGTCCAATCTAATGTTTCTTGATCATTGTCTCCTCCCTTAAAATGACACCAAGCTTTCTTTTACAAATAATTGAACGAAAACGACTCACGATGTAGTCAATCAAAGCATAATTGAATCAATATGTCAGTTTAAAAGCTTTGATTAGTTATGAAACTAGTCAGTGACTTCACAGGCTCTATCCTATCTCTTGCAAAAAAAAAACATGTTGAGTGGGCCTCTGTCAGTGCTGCTGCCATTACAGAAACATTAACAGAAGCAATTAATGAAACATGCTTTGAAGTACAATACGTCCTTCACTTTGATGGTATCTGCTGTTCTGGTATTTCTGCCTACTAGAAAGACTGCAGCTAGATGTCAAGAGAAGGATTTCACCAAATACAAGAACTAGGATGCTATTAAAAGTTTGATATCCTTTTAAACTTGCAGGTATCCTTCGGCAACTTATAAAAAATCCTTTGGCAAAAAAAGAGAAAAAGAAAATTGTACAAGCACTATTATCAATCTACTGAATGGTCTGCATAGTCACTAACTCACTATCTTCAAAAGGAAAATGTACAACTCCAGTTACAAGACTGAAACAGATTCATTTCAGAAAAGTAAGACAGGAACCATGATACCCAGAAATCAAGCAACAAAGTAGATAGCAAGATTGATAAGTAAGCAAGCAGCTCCTAAACAAATAGTGCAGTGAAAATTAAGCCCCTACTTGACTGTCATGGAGTGTGCGGTTCAGTAAGACAATAAAAAGTTGAGCCCCTAAACTAATAGAAGGAAAAAATCAAGTTTTTAGTAATTAAGTAGACTGACCTGTTAAACCATCGCATTTTTGAGCCAAACCAAAGTTGCTTCTCGATCTAGTTCACAACCACTTAGGAAGGCCTCTCTATTTTCTTTGCTCTTGATGAACACTGCAAATGCCTTTGCCTTTTCTTCCTTTGTCACTTCCATTGTGCTCAAAACGGATATACACCTTTTGATAGAGAAGTCATTACCTTGAGCAACCTCCTTTTCTTTGGCTAGATCTGCAGACTCATCTTGTACTTGCTTAGTCCTCATGTCTAGGTATCTCCCCATCATTTCTTCAATCCTTTCACCCTTCTTACGTCTCTTTTCTTCCTTTTCATGTTTTTTGCTTGATGTAGTAGTAGTTCTTCGCTGCCTGCTTCTTTCAATAGCTACGACCTCATTTTCTTCATCTTGTGACAGAGAACCCCGTTGTCCATTTCTTTCAACAGCTACAACCTCACTTGCTTCCTCTTGTATCTCAGTGATTGAATCATCTTCATCTAGTACCTCATGAACCTCAATGCTGTCCAAGTCATCTACATCATGAATTTGTCGAAGTGGTGCTTCCTCTTGTGGTGGCTCAAGAGAAGTCAGATTGTAAGTACCTTCAGCCAAATGACCTACACGATAACAAGGAAATAGCTATAGAAAGTGGTCTTTCCTCATGAAATTCAAGTATAAAGAGAATCAATATAGTTATGACAACTAGAAGGAGTTAATTGGGGGGAAAATATTGTGCAGAGCAACTAGTAGTGCATAACTGAAGAAAACTCATCACAATACAGATGAGAAGAACATGGATGTAGAGTTGTTGTTCTGACATCTATACATTGTGACAAGTAGAAGCATATAACCTAACTCTATAAAATTAGCATATTGTTGCTTAGTCATTAGCACTAGTAGAAAAGCATTACTGTAACTAGCATATTGTTGCTTAGTCATCAGCACTATAAAAAATACTTGATCAAAGACTACTAGACAAGTCAAGTGAATCACAGGATAATATAGAGCAGCAAGATAGAAACAAACAAATACTAAAGTGAGAAGCTGAAAGAATATATTGATTGGCACTGTTTGCAACTATAGAAAGTGAACCTACCATCATAAAGCTCTCCCAAAGCATCAAATAGTGGAAATCTTGCCTTACTGTTGCGGAACTTCCTAATTTTAGGGAATGTCTGCACATTCAAAGAGAACCATTGATCAAATATGAGGTTATCACTATGAGGATATCCATAGAATTACTTCAAGAAATCAACTTACAATTTTAAGGTTATCCCACATAGATGGTGATCCTTCAACCATATGCCTATCTTCATTCTAGGTGGCCCCACTTTGCCTCCTTGCCTCTTTGAGCATCCTATAGTCTTTCTTTAGCTGTCCTTCTTTGTCTTGAATCTGACTCTTTGTGTAGTTGACATACTTGTTCCTCAGATGGAACTCCTTCACCATTTTATTCCACCCTTCAAGGGTCCATCCGTTGTTACCTCTGTAGCCACTATCTTTATACTCATGGAGAACGTCTACCAGGGACTTCTCAAGGGCTGGATTCCAGTCCGCTCTTTGCTTTACTACTACATAAACCATGGTCAGACATCAGGTTACCAAAATCAGCAAATAGAAATAACAGTAAAGAAATACCAGTTTACAGGTTACAGGTTTACTAAAACTACTATAATAGCACATGGTGGAATAAACTGTATAGAAGAGAATTACTTCAAGAAAGTTCTTTTTAGTAGCAAACAACTGCAAAGAAATAACAGCAATAATAGCAGAGAAATAACAGCAATAATAGCAGAGAATTAAACACCATACCTCTCGGAGAACCTCCAATCTTCTTTGCCTTACTACATTTAGGAGAAGCCTTCTTTTTAATACCACTTGTACCCAAGAACCGGTGCAACTTTGGTGACGCCCTTGCAATCATATTGAGCTTCGGGGAGCCTTTTCCAACCATCGCT